CTAATTTTAGCCACATTTTCCAATGGCATTGTCTGAAAATCCATACAAGGAGTTCTTTGTGAGTACTTTGTCCCCTGGAAGATAATTATCTATATAGGTCTACGATATCGTATAGCCCCAATATAACAGTTCCCCACGATATTCGGTATTTTGATAATTTTAGCCGCATTTTCAATGGAATTGTCTGCAATTCTATACAAGGACTACTGTGTGAGTACTTTACCTCCTGGAAGATTGTCTATATAGGCCCACGATATCGTATATCCTCCATGTAACGGCACCTCCCTATATTCGGTATTTTGCTAATTTTAGGCAATATTTTCAATGGAATTGTCTGGAAAGTAACACAAGAAGTTCCTTCTAAGCACTTTACCCCTTATAAAATAATTGTCTATGTAAGTCAAAGTTATCGTATTCACTCCGTTATTCGGCATTTAGGTGATTTTACCGACATTATTCACCGGAATTGTTTCAATTTTGCATTTAAAGTTCCTAATGAGTATTACAGCGTGTGACAGGAAACTACCAATGTAGGTCCAGGTCTTTGTATAGCCCCCAATTTATCGGTACTTCCCTATATTCCGAATTTTGACTATTTTAGCGACAGTATTAACCGAATTTTGTTGTCTTGGAATATTGTAATGACCTATGGAAATGTTCTTCGATCGATATGTTCATATATTTCATTTTATCTAAAGACTTCCTTCGGGTTTTCTTTGATAAATATAGGTTCAGTGATTCTTGAGGAATTTCAGGGCAAAATCCATATTTGCAATTTTTGCGGGTTATTTCTTTTTTTCTATATTTTTTAGGGTTATTCATAGGTTTTAAATTTAGTGTCCATTGAATGATGATTTTTTGGCAATATAGATAGAAAATATAGACATTTAAATCAAAATTCCATTGGAAAACAGGATTAAAATCCTCGAAAGTCCTGAAATTGAAAGGAGCTATTAGAGCCATAATATGTAGAATCAAGCAGAAGCGCTCAATAATAGCTACAGAAAAATGTTTTTAGTGAGAACCTAAAAATCATTAACGTAAATTGTTCGTCAATCCTCTTGAAAACCAGTGTCAATACCTTAAAAAACGGAAAAAATTGGGAGGTTACATGGTCGCTGTACCAATTTTCGGGTTATTTGTGCACCAAATGGCTAATAAAAGTTCAAATTACCTGTATTTTGTTACATCCCACCGAATTCAGTCTAGAGGCAAGTAAATCTAATTCGGAGAAAATCGGTTCAGATATAGATAGCTCTCATATATATGTTTCATCCGATTTATGGTTTTAAGTCCCTCACATGCGAGAGTCCCTTGCATGCACTCCAAAAAATTATATTTGGTATCGGACATCAGATACAGCTCGAAAATACCTGTAATTTTTTTTTGAGATCGGTTCAGATATAACTATATCCGATTTTATGTTTAAATTCCCTCACAAGCGTAAAATGCATTCTACAAACATGATTTTGGTACCAGATATCAGATACAGCTCTGAAATAAGTGTATCAAATTTTGTCAAGATCCCCAACCGTTTTGGGGTTAGTTGTGCACCAAATAGCCAATATCAGTCAATATCAGAGTTCAGTCTAGAAGCAAGTACATTAAATTTGGTGAAAATCGGTTCAGATATAGCAATAACTCCCATATATATGCTTCATCCGATTTGTTGTTTAAGTCCCAAACATTCGTAAAATGCCCTCCACAAAAATGATATTTGGTACAAGATATTTTATAGAGCTTGGAAATACCTTAATCCGATTTCAGGTTTATTGTGCAAATTATGGTTAACATCAGCCCAAATGGAGTGAATTTCGGGACGTACCTTTCCATTTGGTGAAACTAGGCTCCGATACAAATAATTTTACTAAAATCCTTCTCGATGTGATATCATGCACACTATAGCAATGTTTTTTGATGTAAAAGATAAAAATGTATCCGTAAAATTTGCTGAAAATCGATTCAGAATTGGACATCCAATGTATTAGTTCGCTCTGAAGCCAAAGTATTACCGCTCTAAAGGCAATGATTGATTAATGGTAGGATCTTCTTCAAATAAATTCCCAATAGGTTTTTAAGCGCGCAAAAGTATTTTGGTGAGAATTTTCCAGAAAAAAAAGTTCTTCGTTATGGATTTCAAGCGTGATAATGTGATCTCTTTATATTTGGCTGGAAAACCACAAGTGGCTGTCGTTAGAGCACTCCAGCATTGAAATGTGAATAAATCTTTTGTGTCTCGTACCATCGCTCGTTACCGTGATACTGGTAGCGTAGCCCGACGTCAAGGAAGTGGATGGAAGAAAATAGCAACATCAGCAGAAATGGTTCGAAAAGAAAAGAAGCGTCTTGATCGAAACCCGCGTTACAGGGCCCGCAAAATGGCTCGTGAGGTGAACAAATGGGCTCGGGGTAAAGCCATTGAAATTCGAAAAAAGTGCAAGAACTTACACCACAACAGAAAGAAAATAGAGTCAAAGGAGCTAAAGAGTTGCTGCGCTTGGCCAAAAGTTGTGAACTGCCGAATTTGGTTTTCTCCGATGAGAAAACCATTCGTTGTACTGCAGATCGCAAAATGGTCGTGTTTACTTGCCAAAGAGGTCAGCTGAAAATGTCCACCTTCGGTTGGCCACCAGAACTCAAACGCTGGCCATTGTGATAATGTGGGCCGCCATAACAGCCGATGGTCGCTCTCCGCTCGTATTAATCGGCCTTGGCATTATAATAAATGCCGAATATTATCGCGAAAATATTCTGGAGGGTGTATTAAAGCAACGCAAACATTTTGGCCGCAGTCCTTAGACCTTCCGACAGTGCTCAGAACTATCGCACATATCATGCGCCACCCATGAATGTATACAAAATGAGGTTCCCCGATTCATTTCCAGAGCACAAGGGCCACCAAAATCTCTGGACACCAATCCGTTGGACTATTGTGTCTGGAGTATTTTGCAAGGTTAGGTTGGCACTAAAAATAGCAAAGTGTTGATCACCTCAAGCAAGCGCTTCGCCGGGAATGGGCCAAAATACCACAGAGCAGCATTCGGGCAGCGTTTGATCAATTCGAACAAATCTAAACTTTTCTAAAATTTGATGATATTTCCGTCATTTTTATACCCTCCACCATACTATACGAAATACTCATGTCAGACCCAACAAAATATATATATTCTTGATCAGCGTAAAATTCTAAGTCGATTTAGCCATGTCCGCCTGTCTGCCTGTCCGTCTGTCTGTCTGTTGCAATCACGCTATCTTTTGAACGAATTGAGATAAAAGGCTAAAATTTTGCACACGTGTTTATTTGTCCAGTAGGCAGGTTAAGTTCGTTAATGGACCATGTAGGTCCACGTTTTCATATAGCCCCCATATAGCGGTACCTCCCGATATTCGGTATTTTGATGATTTTAGCGACATTATTCTCCGGAATTGTTTCAACTTTGGTATTTGAAGTTCGTAATGGATGCTACAGCCTATGACAGAAAATTGTGTGTGAAGGTCCACGTCTTCGTATAGCCCCATATAACGGTACCTCCCAAAATTCGGTATTTTGATCATTTTAGCGCCATTATTCACCGGAATTGATTCAAATTACGTATGCAGAGATCGTAATGGGAACTACAGTCTGTGACAGAAAAATGTCTGTGCAGGTCCAGGTCTTCGTATAGGCCCCATATATCAGTACCTCCCTATATTCGGTATTTTGACAAATTTAGGTACAATACCCACCGAAATTGTTTGAGATGTCGTATTTGACGTTAGTAATGGATGCTATAGCCTGTGACAGAAAATTGTCTATGATATGATAATGGTACCTCCCTATATTCGATATTTTGATGATCTTGGCTACATTATTCACCGTTTATTTCAAGTTTCGAATTTGAATATGGTAATGGCTAATGGCAAACAATACCTATGTTGGTCCACGTCGTATAGACCCCAATATAACCGCAATATTCGGTATTTTTAAAATTTAAGAGAATTTTTTAAGGATTTTATTTTTTTAAATTTCCAAATTCGTTCCAAATGATGGAGGGTATTAAAAGTTCGGCCCGAACTTACTGCTTTTTAACTTGTTTGTTTTAATTTAATAATATTAAAAAAAAAATGTAAAAATTATAGCGTTGGACTTTGTTGCAGTTTTTTTATTACAAACGGAATGACGAAATTAATATACCCTACATACTATGTGTGGTGGAGGGTATTACTAGCTGACTCCTTTGATGAACATTACGCAATGTGTATGATACTTTGCGTGTTAAAACTCGACGGTATGTACATCAGAACCTCATAAGACCATCTTTCCGAATTCGGACCGAAGACTGTTAGAATTTCGGCATAAAATCAGAAATGTGCACGACATTTATTCCGAGTTCGTCCCGACATCTCTAATTTTCCTTCCAAATTCTCCATGAATATCCTTACTAATTAGGTCCGATTTCAGTTCGAAAATCGACTAAAATTTCAGACTGTCATCCGACCCTTCGTTCTGACAACACGTCAACCACTCCATATAGTTTTCGGACAGAAGTCGGACCAAATTCGTATCCGACGTTGAAAGTTTCTTCCGACGCATTGCTACATATCTCCCCTCGCGACCAAGATTTTGATGTATCTCTCATATCTTCGGTCCAATTGTGGTATTGAAAGCTGAATCCAAATCTGGGTTGATTTTAATTAGGTATTTAGAAAGTATATGTTCAAAATTATTTCATTTTTCAATTTCAAATATTTTTTGTAACTAACGATTATTTTTAAATACAAAATTGATAGAAAAACCATATCACAATTTTTATTGGATTTTTTTTTAATCTTATGCTATTTCCTTTTTTTCCAAAACTTGTGGTTGCAAAGTTTTGGTTTTTTTTTTTTTTTGGGAACAACAAAACAATTTTCTTCTTTTTGCTTGATTTTGTTGCTGTCTTACTGTTCTTCTTCATCATCTATTCCCATTGTTGTTTTGCGGTTGTACATTTTGATTGCTTTGTTTTGTTTGAACTTACCTGCATGAAGCCTTCTGGACATCCCGGTAATTCTCCTGTGGGGCTAAGACTCGTCTCATAGCCATCCACATCTGAATCGACCATACCCTCGTCAAAGCGACCCACAGTAAAACTGTCGAATATTATCTGTAAGAGAAGAGAGAGCGTGAAAAAAGAACAGAAGGTAAATTGGAAAATATAAAAATAGATTTTTATTACAAGGAGAACAAAGAAAGCAATTGTTACAAAGCTTGTAACATGAATGTGTGAATTATGTAAGTACGTATGTAGGTATTTGTGTATGTTCGGTGTTTACAACCTGGTGGTGGGCAACCCAACAAAATAGGATCAATTTCTAGTGTCAATTAAGAAATGTTTGCTGAAGGGGGAGAGGTTTCCGCTGGAGGGGAATTCCTTTACGTGTTCTCAGGACACCTCAAACCGCATTGCTTCCCTTAGGCAATTCACCATGAAGGCTATGCGTGTGTGTGTGTGTGCGTGAATTGGACATGTATTGAGTACGTGTCGTAATCTGTCTACGCATTGGACATTCAATTATTTGCCCCCAATAGCCATAAATCATTTCCTTTCCCTGCACGTTTTCTTGGCATGCGTTAACTGTGACATGTGGCCGTGTTATATTCTCTTCCTTTTCTTTGCTTTGCTTTCCCTCCATTTTTCAATTAGTTCTGGTGGCATTTCCAAGAATCTTGTTGAATAGAAACAATTTCTTTTTTTACTTCCACTATTTTTTTTTTTTTTTTTGAATCCCTGTCACTTTCTACCTTTGGGTAACGAATTTATCACCAAGTGTAACTACTGTGACATTTTATTTTTTCGCTTTCGTTCGGTATGTTTGTTTAGTTGAAGTTATCGTGACATCGCTGCTGCTTGGCTATGCATGTCCCTTATTAGCTGGACAAAATGTTATGTGTTTTTTTTTTTTTTTGTTCTCTTTCAGTTCGTATCCTGTCAATTCCACATTGATTGACAGCTCTGTTTTGAGCTCAGACAAATGATGGCGCTGCAAAAAAATCATATTTCATTTTGGTTCACACCATCAAATAGAGAAGTCAAGCATCAAATTGAGTTAGTTAATAATACAAATTGATGTTTGCGATTTCGATTGGAAAATGGGTCAAGGCTGTATGGGAAAAAAATCAAGTGACAAGAAATTTAAAACGTTTAAAAATATCATATTTTTCTAAAGTACTTTTCCGATGTTTTTGACATTTTCTAAGCATTTATTCTTATCTACTTTGAGGTCTTTCTACTCAAAGAAGACAGTGAAAAAGTTCAGAGGATTTAAAAAGGTAATTTAAACAAGTTAAAAAGCAGTAAGGCCGAACTTTGAATACTCTCCACCATTTGAAAAGAATTTGAAAATTTTCATTCAAAAAAAAAAAAAAAAAAATAATAATAATAATAATAATAATTATAGTAATAATAATAATAATAATATAATAATAATAATAATAATAATAATAATAATAATAATATAATAATAATAATAATAATAATAATAATAATAATAATAATAATAATAATAATAATAATAATAATAATAATAATAATAATAATAATAATAATAATAATAATAATAATAATAATAATAATAATAATAATATAATAATAATAATAATAATAATAATAATAATAATAATAATAATAATAATAATAATAATAATAATAATAATAATATAATAATAATAATAATAATAATAATAATAATAATAAATAAATAAATGAATAAATAAAAGACAAAATCCGTTATAAATTCGAAATAATTCCGGTCTAAAATGTCGCTGAAATCAGCAAAATATATATGAAAGGAGATACCGATATAGGGGTGTTATGCGAAAACATGGACCATTACTAAGTGCAAATTCGAAATTTGAAACAATTCCCGTAAATAACGTAGCTAAAATTATCAAAATACCGAATAAAAGAAGGGGCTGATATTTAGGGGTCATACGAAGACCCGCTTTGACAATTTCCTGCCACAGGCTGTATTTCTCATTGGGAACTTCAAACACGAAATATGAAACAATTCCGGCGAATAGTGTAGCTAAACCATAAAAATAAAAAATATCGGGAGGTATTGATATATGGGGGCTATACGAAGACCTGGACCTGAATAGACAGTTTTCTGTCATAGGATATAGTTCCTATTAGGAATTTCAAACACGAAATATGAAACAATTCCGGTGAATGATGCCGCTGAAATCAGTAAAATACCGAATAAAGAGAAGTACTTATATTGTGGCGTTTTGCCAAAATCTGGACCTGCATAGACAATTTTCTGTCACAGGCTGTAGTACCCATAACGAAGTTGAAATGCGAAATTTGAAACAATTCCGGTAAATAATGTAGCTAAAATCATCAAATATAAGAAGGTGCCGATAATTATGGGCTATACGAAGGCTTGCTTTGACAATTTTCTGTCACAGGCTCTATTTCTCATTGGGAACTTCAAATACGAAATTTAAAACAATTTCGGTGAATAATGTCTCCGAAAGCAACAAAATACCGAAAAAAGGGAGGTACCTATATAGGGGGGTTATGCGAAAAACTGGACCTGCATACCCATACCCATAAGGAAATTCAAACACGAAATATGAAATAATTCCGGTGAATAGTGTAGCTAAAACCGTCAAAATAAGGAATATAGGGAGGTACCGATATATGGCGGCTATACGAAGACGTGGACCTGAATAGACAATTTTTGAAATGAAACAATTCCGATTAATAATGTCGCTGTAATCATCAAAATACCGAATATAGGGAGGAGCCGGCCTGCTATACGACCTGCATAGATAATTTTTTATCATAAGCTGTAGTAACCTTTAGGAACTTCAAATATGAAATTCGAAACAATTCCGGTGAACAATTCAAATGAAATCAGGAAAATACCGAACAATGGGAGGTACCGATATAGGGGGGCGGGTTTGCGAAATTGGACCTGCATAGACAATTTTCTGTTACAGGCTGAAGTACCATTACTGAGTGCAAATACGAAATTTGAAACCATTCCGGCGAATAATTAAATCAGCAAAATACCGAATATAATTTAATTTCCTTTCATTTATTCAATTTAATTTTTAATTTCACAGGTCCTGCAGAACAAAAACAAATAAGTTTTTTGCTCATCAAGAATATATCTGTAGGGCCTAGGTGTTTCGAAGTGTTACAAACGGAATGACGGAATAATTAAAATACCCTCCACACTATGATGGAGGGATGTGTGGAGTCGATCTGGCAACATCGTTCTGTCTGGCTGGCTGGAACATATGATAACTCTCAAAGAGAGTACACGAATTTAACCAAACTTTGTACATCGGAAAAATTTTACTTAGCCTTGATCATGTTCGAAGACGTGCCAAAGTGGCGAACACTTCGGGTAGCAATTCTCCCCCTGTCTCTCGCATGAGATTCTGATATCGCCCTCAGCTATTAAGGCCAATTTTTATACCCTACACCACATAGTGGCAAGGGTATTATGTCTTTGCGCATTTGTTTGTAACATGGAGAAGAAAGCAAGAATTGAATTTGAATTGAATTACTTTCTGAGTCGATTTATGTCCAAGTATTCTTGTGAACAAAAAGCAGGTCGCATTAATTATCCAACTGAGATGAAATTTTCCATAGAATGTTTGCTTAGCCCAAAGACGATCCCAATTAAAATTGGTGAGAATCAGTTTAAATTTAGATAAAGCTCTATATACAGGGTGAGTTAAAACCAGTAAAGAAAGTCCTGAAGTCGGGCGGGGCCGACTTTATGATACCCTACACCACTTTGCTAATTTAGTAGAGCTCCACGTAACAATTAAAAGTTTTTATTGGAGAATTCAATCATACACACTAGGATTATAATTATAATTTAAAGTTCAATGGACTAAATATGCCGAAGCATTTGTATCTCTTAAATTCGGACTTGTATTGCCTATTTGGTACACAATTTATTTGAAATCGGATAAACATATATATGGGAGCTATATCCAAATCTGAACAGATCTTGATAAAATTTGGCAAAGATATTTCTGAGCTGTATTTGATATATTTCCCTGAATATCGTTGTTATGGAGTGCATATTACGGCTGTGGGTAAAAAATACAACAAATCGGATGAACAATATATATGGGAGCTATAGCTATATCTGAACCTATCTTCACCAAATTTGACATACTACCCTTCTCAATTCGGTCGTAAGTGCCAAATTTCATCCTATTTGTGCAAATATTAGACGTTTGATGCACAATAAAAGGTAAATCGGATGAAGTTATATATGGGAGCTCTATCTAAATTTTTACCGATTATCTCCAATTTTAATAGGGTTCGTCCTTGGGCCAAACAAATGTAGTTTGGAAAATTTCATCTCAATCGGATAATAAATGCGACCTGCATCTTGTTCACAAGAATATATGGACAGACGGACGGACAGACGGACTGACATGCATAAATCAAAGTAACTATGGGTCTATCTCGCTCAAAAGTAAATATGGGTCTATCTCGCTTCCTTCTCCATGTTACAAACAAATGCACAAAGACATGATAAATAATAAAACTGCAACAATTTACATTTTTCTTTATTTTTATTGAATGAAAGTAAAATATGTCGGAAATAGCATCATCATTTAGAATAAGTTTAGATTTGTTCGAATTGATCAACTTTACCACAAATTATGGCCTTCAAACGGCCAATGAAACCGTCATATGCTGACCGAATATTTCTCTGCAGTAATTTGGCTCATTCCCGGCTAATCGCTTGCTTAAGGTGATAAACACTTTGGTATTTTTTTGTGCCAACGTTGCTTTCCAAAATACTCCAGATACAATATTCCAACGGATTGGTATCCTGAGATTTTGGTGGTCATTTTGTGCTGGAATTGAAGCGAACATTTTGTAACCATTATTGGGTGGCACGAGTGAGTGCGATTGTGCTGAGTCCTGTTGGAATGTCCAAGGTCTGCGGCCAAAATGTTCGCGTACCAAAGGCTTTAATACACCCTCCAGAATATTTTCGCGATAATATTCGGCATTTATTCTGATGCTACGGTCGATTATTGCGAGCGGAGGGCGACCATCGGCTGTTATGGCAGCCCACACCATCACCATGGCCGGCTTGAGTTTTGATGGCCAACCGAAGG